GAGTGTGGTGTGTGGTGTTCTACAAAACATGAACCATAGGCCGAGTGTGGTGTTCTACAAAACGTGAACCATAGGCCGAGTGTGGTGTTCTACAAAACGTGAACCATAGGCTGAGTGTGGTGTTCTACAAAACGTGAACCATAGGCCGAGTGTGGTGTTCTACAAAACGTGAACCATAGGCCGAGTGTGGTGTTCTACAAAACATGAACCATAGGCCGAGTGTGACGTTCTACAAAACGTGAACCATAGGCCGAGTGTGGTGTTCTACAAAACATGAACCATAGGCCGAGTGTGGTGTTCTACAAAACGTGAACCATAGGCCGAGTGTGGTGTTCTACAAAACATGAACCATAGGCCGAGTGTGGTGTTCTACAAAACATGAACCATAGGCCGAGTGTGGTGTTCTACAAAACATGAACCATAGGCCGAGTGTGGTGTTCTACAAAACATGAACCATAGGCCGAGTGTGGTGTTCTACATGAAGTATAGGCTGAGTGTGGTGTTCTACAAAACGTGAACTATAGGCCGAGTGTGGTGTTCTACAAAACATGAACTATATAGGCCGAGTGTGGTGTTCTACAAAACATGAACTATAGGCCGAGTGTGGTGTTCTACAAAACGTGAACCATAGGCCGAGTGTGGTGTTCTACAAAACATGAACCATAGGCCGAGTGTGGTGTTCTACAAAACACGAACCATAGGCCGAGTGTGGTGTGTTCTACAGTGTGGTGTTCTACAAAACGTAACCATAGGCCGAGTGTGAGTGTTCTACAAAACATGAACCATAGGCCGAGTGTGGTGTTCTACAAAACGTGAACCATAGGCCGAGTGTGTAGGGTGTTCTACAAAACGTGAACCATAGGCCGAGTGTGGTGGTGTTCTACAAAACATGAACCATAGGCTGAGTGTGGTAGGGTGTTCTACAAAACACGAACTATAGGCCGAGTGTGGTGTTCTACAAAACACGAACCATAGGCCGAGTGGGTGTTCTACAAAACATGAACTATAGGCCGAGTGTGGTGTTCTACAAAACACGAACTATAGGCCGAGTGTGGTGTTCTACAAAACACGAACCATAGGCCGAGTGGGTGTTCTACAAAACACGTGAACCATAGGCCGAGTGTGGTGTTCTACAAAACATGAACTATAGGCTGAGTGTGGTGTTCTACAAAACGTGAACCATAGGCCGAGTGTGGTAGGGTGTTCTACAAAACATGAACCATGGGCCGAGTGTGGTGTTCTACAAAAACATGAACTATAGGCTGAGTGTGGTGTTCTACAAAACATGAACATTTAAATCTCCGAATTTTATTCAACTTAGGATAAAAGTTGTTTAACAAACGATCATAGTTTCAAATCGCTATTATTGGTTTACTTGTTTGAGTGGCATTTTAGAAGTTGAGACGTACAATATATAACAAGTTTTATGGATAACAACTTCTTTATTTTCGTGAGTGCGACGTTTCGATACAGATTCTTGTACCGTTGGCAATGAAGTGAGCGTGGTAAGAGGCGGCAAGAGACAAAGGAAACAACCTAATTGCCATGATTGGCTTAATCATCAAATACAAAGGAGTGTGGAGGCCGACATCATGCCATTACAATCGCCAACAACCAAACGGATCCTCACTAAAACGCAAGCTCACAGAAGCCATTCACATCAAACGCCACAAGCCTACCATCAACCGTGACCAAAGGATACTTCATTCCATCTGCTTGGCATGATCCACCTCCTCCAAGCCCAGTCTATTGTATAAACATCGCATCCATTGTATAAACATCTCATTGTAACTACATCTCTGGCTTCCATTCACTATCCTTTATGTACTTACTGGCTTCATCAGCTTACTGCTTAGCCAATCATGGCAATTATGTTGTTTCCTTTGTCTATTATGTTGTTTCATTGTTATATACAGTATATATATGCAGCTCCTACACTTCATGTATCACTCTTGCTTGACAACGGTACAAGAATCTGTATCGAAACGTCGCACTCACGAAAATAAAGAAGTTGTTATCCATAAAACTTGTTATATATTATTGGTTTGTATTACAAGGGGGTACGCGCAGTAGTTGGAACAGTGAAACAAATGCACGTGCGGTACGTGATGAGCGTTAACTTAAGACTACTGTAGAAACCAACGCTTCTTGTTTTCGGGGTTTCATTTAATGTGCATACCCCCTTATAATACAAACCAATAATAGCGATTTAAAACTATGATCATTTGTTAAACAACTTTTATCCTAAGTTAAATAGAATTCTGAGATTTTAATGTTCAATTGGCAAGGTAAAGTTATGAGGATTCGCAATCTTAATATCACTTTATTTGATTTACTTTTGTGTTAAAAGTGCAATTGATCGGTACGTTTTCACTGAAAACAGACTATAGTGTGCCAACGTGGTGTTCTACGAAACATGAACGCAGTTCTCAGACTGTTTCAGGTTTACACGCGAACTGCTTCAAAATGACAGCTGTCGTTATGTCAGTATCCGCATTCACACGCTTCAACAAATGTCTTCACATGTGTCAGACTCGTTCGTGTATTAAACAACATCCCTGCACTTCAGGCTCGTCGATCCCTCGTCGTCGTCATACCAAAAGACGTTAAAATATGGTACTTGTTGGTCCCTGCCTGGCGCTCGGCATTAATGGGTACAAGGACTGGTCGGCTCGGAGTCAGTATAATGTATCTGAGTGGGGAATTCATGCTTCACTGCGGCATGGTATCTCAGTGGGCTAGCACTATGAAACCAGCTTAAGTCTGGGCTAGTACAAGCAGCCGCACATACACACACACGCGTGTACATCGTCATATGAGCGAACTATTCTCAAGCACGACGTTAAACCCAATTTCACCTCACCTCAGGCTCGTGGTGTCAAAACGCTTCATTCAATCACACATACATCAAACTCGCTTACTCACTCCGTCACTCACACACAGTCGAGGCTCTCTTCCGCCATAAGAACAATGGTTGCCAACACAGTATCAGGGGTGTCCGGTGTGGTAACATTCTACCTTGTGAAACATTACTTCCATCAATGGTGCTATCTAACTTGCCCCAGATGCACGAGTTAGGGCATCAGTTGGTGCTCCAGCCTCCCAACCATGGGAGTAGTAATTAGTGGTTATCTCCACACAGGGGGTGTTTACCAGGAGAGGACAGATAGCGTCGGATCAGGTGTACAGTGTGTGGACAGATCGTGCAAGGAAATGGTCAGGAAATGGGGGTTGACAATTCACATGTACATGTTATGATATTTGCCACATTTATGCAGACTGGAAAGAGTAACTTTGCCCAGTAAACTGAGTTTGGCGAGTAATATTCAAGACCGCGGGGCATCTGGATCTAATGGCGTCATAAATTGTAACGGTGACGTGCATGTGGCGTAAAAGATCTAGCGGAATATGGCGTCCCACAGAGATGGGGCATCTGGAGTAAGACTTACAGAGGGTCTCGGTGTCTCTTGGTTTAATGACACTCAACGCTGAGCGAGCTACAGACATAAATGATGTCTGCTTGAGTCAAGACACCCTTTACTAATATTTAATTGCCCCCAAACATAATTTCGTGATCAGAGACCACATGTGTTATGTATTCCATGTGGTACTGCTTCCAGCTAACGACGCGAGCATCTGCTGATGGCGAATATTCTCGACCATAGCAGGGACAGGGGCAATAAAACCACGCTCAGATATCTCCTTGCTCACTCACTAAGAACATTCTTAAAGATATCTGACACGAACGAAAAATATCTTCCGATTAGAGACCATATAATATAGAGTTTATTGCATGGTCTCTGTTCACATATAATCCCAACTTTGCATTTACTATGATGATGTTCGAAATGAAACTAAAGCACATGTCCCCTGTGGACGATGTAGAGTTCTTCTCCCTGAGGCAGGAGGCTGGTTATTCTGCAACCCAGTCTCGAGGAGGACTAAAACACTAGAAGAAGTTCTAGGTTCCTTGTGAGACTGCCCCAGTACATGGGCCACAACTAGCCTCACAGTCCTAGTCGTTCCTTAGATGTCCATCGTTCATGGTGACCAATGCACGAGTGAACAAATCCCCACAGATGATAAAATGTATCGTTTCACTCGATGTACAGCTCAGAGCAATATGGACAGCAAATGTGATCTTCATTATATGTTTCCTTTAAATATTCACTTATCAAACACACATTAATGCAAATACATTCTTGTTGTCATTTGGAAAGGCGTAGTGGCGACTAAAGCGGTCCCCGCCACTGTTTTTGCGGAATATTTGCTCAAAGCGGCGTTAAACCATACTCACTCATATACATTTAATTATAACACCATTGCCTCTATTGGTAACTTCAAACTAGGTCGTCTGACAGGTTCGCATACAAGTACAACAAAGTACACACAATTATTTACAAGAACTGTTCAATGATCTGTCTCAGGGCTGTTGACACACCGTACTGAGAAATCTCACTGAAGCGAGACTATACTTTCCACATGTACCGACTCGGTCCACTGGACGTGTCTGGTGAAGTGTTCTATATATAGAAGTAAGCCTTATTACATAAAGAAGATGAAGAAATTAATTTCAACGGCTGTTGTGAAACGGCTGAAACAAAATATGTGTTAAGAGTGTGTGTAAATATACTAATTAACCGTACATTGACGATACTTTTTCAGAGACACGTACATCTCAGCTGTTGAATAATGTAAGTGGGGGATGACAACTGTATTCTGCTGTTATTGACATGAATTATTTCAGGATACTACATCTACTTCAGAAAAGTATCTCTACATATCGACATGAAGATATGAGTGCATTTTATGCATGATCATCGGATGCGAACAAGTCCCCTGCCGCTCCCCCCTGTGGCGACGACCACTGTAGCGGAACACTTGCCTGAGCGTTGTGTTAATCCATCAGTTGTGTATGTAACACTGTGGCTGACCACCACCACTGATCATCAACATCTACACCGTCCCATCTGTGACTACATCCCCGTGTTGACACTCACCTGCTCCAGACACCGTCAGATGGTCTCCATCTCCCGGCTCGCGGCCCAGATTTGCGTTACGAAACAAAACCGATTCGCTCTCCCCTCTCGTCCGTTGTCAACAAACTCGCGAACACATTTACGAAGGGAGCTAACTCTGTTACCAAATTGGTTTATGCTATCTGTAATGTAAGCATGTAGGTTCGAATCTCTTCGTCTTGATCCTCGAGACGAGAAGTTTTACATAACATTTTTTATATATTTGCAATGGACATGTGAAATATTCCATTCTTTCTTCCTACCTAGCTACCTCTCCCAACCCACACCCACCCAAATCTTTAGAGGATATTACTCACAGTTTTAATCAGTCTGATTCCAAAAGAATAAAATAACATTACATTCACTGGGATTTGTTCGATGGACAGTTTGCAAAAAGCTCAGAATACGTGAAGTCAACAGGAAAATCGTGTGGCGTGGTGTAGAGGAAAGGTGGACCGTTGATAGGGACTGGAAACATCGTGTGGCGTGGTGTAGAGGAAAGGTGGACCGTTGATATGGACTGGAAACATCGTGTGGCGTGGTGTAGAGGAAAGGTGGACTGTTGATAGGGACTGGAAACATCGTGCGGCACGGTGCAGAGGAAAGGTGGACTGTTGATAGGGACTGGTGGCGTGGGTGTAGAGGAAAGGTTGACTGTTGATAGGGACTGGAAACATCATGTGGCGTGGTGTGGCTGACTGGTGATAGGGACTGGAAAGGTGGCGTGGTGAGAGGAAAGGTGGACTGTTGATAGGGACTGGAAACATCGTGTGGCACGGTGCAAGAGAAAGGTGGACTGTTGATAGGACTGGAAACATCGTGGGCGTGGTGTAGAGGAAAGGTGGACTGTTGATAGGACTGGAAACATCGTGGACTGGAAACATCGTGTAGTGCGGTGTAGAGGAAAGGTTGACTGTTGATAGGGACTGGAAACATCGTGTGGCGTGGTGTAGAGGAAAGGTGGACTGTTGATAGGGACTGGAAACATCGTGTGGCGTGGTGTAGAGGAAAGGTGGACTGTTGATAGGGACTGGAAACATCGTGTGGCGTGGTGTAGAGGAAAGGTTGACTGTTGATAGGGACTGGAAACATCGTGTGGCGTGGTGTAGAGGAAAGGTGGACTGTTGATAGGGACTGGAAACATCATGTGGCGTGGTGTAGAGGAAAGGTGGACTGTTGATAGGGACTGGAAACATCATGTGGCGTGGTGTAGAGGAAAGGTTGACTGTTGATAGGGACTGGAAACATCGTGTGGCGGGTGTGGAAAAGGTCTGTTGATAGGGACTGGAAACATCGTGTGGCGTGGTGCAGAGGAAAGGTGGACTGTTGATAGGGACTGGAAACATCGTGTGGCGTGGTGTAGAGGAAAGGTGGACTGATAGGACTGGAAACATATGTGGCGTGGGTGTGGAAACATGTTGATAGTGGCGTGTGGGTGTAGAGGAAAGGTGGACTGTTGATAGGGACTGGAAACATCGTGTGGCGTGGTGTAGAGGAAAGGTGGACTGTTGATAGGGACTGGAAACATCATGTGGCGTGGTGTAGAGGAAAGGTGGACTGTTGATAGGGACTGGAAACATCGTGTGGCGTGGTGTAGAGGAAAGGTTGACTGTTGATAGGGACTGGAAACATCGTGTGGCGTGGTGTAGCAAGGTGGACTGTTGATAGGGACTGGAAACATCGTGTGGCGTGGTGTAGCAAGATGGACTGTTGATAGGGACTGGAAACATCGTGTGGCGTGGTGTAGAGGAAAGGTGGACTGTTGATAGGGACTGGAAACATCGTGTGGCGTGGTGTAGAGGAAAGGTTGACTGTTGATAGGGACTGGAAACATCGTGTGGCGTGGTGTAGAGGAAAGGTTGACTGTTGATAGGGACTGGAAAAAGATCATCTTTACCGATGAAATGACTATTGTTGTTTAGTCTGATGGAAGAGTTAAAGACTGGCGAGTTAAAGTGGAAGAGTTAAAGTGTGGCGAGTTAAAGTGGAAGAGTTAAAGTGTGGCGAGTTAAAGTGGAAGAGTTAAAGTGTGGCGAAAGCGATCAGAAAGATGGAAAGGCGAGTGTCTCGTGTATTTCACTCATGGAATAGTGCGGTCTATGAAGTTGATGATGTTGGGGAGCATTATGTATTACGGTGTGGGATGTTTAGTGTTCGTCTAGGGAAATATGAACAGTGTTGAGTATACCGATACACTTGACGACTTGTTGTGACTTGTTGTAAAATTCTTACATGTCACGATATTTACTCATTTTGAATGTGATAACTTTGACAGTGCTAATTCTTACACTGAATACGTTGTATAGTGGATAGAGAGTCTGCCTGGACACTGCCTCCGTGGATAGAGCGTCTGCCTGGACACTGCCTCCGTGGATAGAGCGTCTGCCTGGACACTGCTTCCGTTGTATAGTGGATAGAGCGTCTGCCTGGACACTGCCTCTGTTGTATAGTGGATAGAGCGTCTGCCTGGACACTGCCTCTGTTGTATAGTGGATAGAGCGTCTACCTGGACACTGCCTCTGTTGTATAGTGGATAGAGCGTCTGCCTGGACACTGCCTCCGTGGATAGAGCGTCTGCCTGGACACTGCCTCAGTTGTATAGTGGATAGAGCGTCTGCCTGGACACTGCCTCCGTGGATAGAGCGTCTGCCTGGACACTGCCTCTGTTGTATAGTGGATAGAGCGTCTGCCTGGACACTGCTTCCTGTTGTATAGTGGATAGAGCGTCTGCCTGGACACTGCCTCTGTTGTATAGTGGATAGAGCGTCTGCCTGGACACTGCCTCTGTTGTATAGTGGATAGAGCGTCTGCCCTGGACACTGCCTCTGTTGTATAGTGGATAGAGCGTCTGCCTGGACACTGCCTCCGTGGATGGACACTGCCTCCGTGGATAGAGCGTCTGCCTGGACACTGCCTCTGTTGTATAGTGGATAGAGCGTCTGCCTGGACACTGCCTCCGTTGTATAGTGGATAGAGCGTCTGCCTGGACACTGCTTCCGTTGTATAGTGGATAGAGCGTCTGCCTGGACACTGCCTCTGTTGTATAGTGGATAGAGCGTCTGCCTGGACACTGCCTCTGTTGTATAGTGGATAGAGCGTCTGCCTGGACACTGCCTCTGTTGTATAGTGGATAGAGCGTCTGCCTGGACACTGCCTCCGTTGTATAGTGGATAGAGCGTCTGCCTGGACACTGCTTCCGTTGTATAGTGGATAGAGCGTCTGCCTGGACACTGCCTCCGTGTATAGTGGATAGAGCGTCTGCCTGGACACTGCCTCTGTTGTATAGTGGATAGAGCGTCTGCCTGGACACTGCCTCCCTGTATAGTGGATAGAGCGTCTGCCTGGACACTGCCTCTGTTGTATAGTGGATAGAGCGTCTGCCTGGACACTGCCTCCGTTGTATAGTGGATAGAGCGTCTGCCTGGACACTGCTTCTGTTGTATAGTGGATAGAGCGTCTGCCTGGACACTGCCTCTGTTGTATAGTGGATAGAGCGTCTGCCTGGACACTGCCTCTGTTGTATAGTGGATAGAGCGTCTGCCTGGACACTGCCTCTGTTGTATAGTGGATAGAGCGTCTGCCTGGACACTGCCTCTGTTGTATAGTGGATAGAGCGTCTGCCTGGACACTGCCTCCGTTGTATAGTGGATAGAGCGTCTGCCTGGACACTGCCTCTGTTGTATAGTGGATAGAGCGTCTGCCTGGACACTGCCTCTGTTGTATAGTGGATAGAGCGTCGCCTGGACACTGCCTCCGTGGATAGAGCGTGGATAGCACTGCCCTGTTGTATAGTGGATAGAGCGTCTGCCTGGACACTGCTCTGTTGTATAGTGGATAGAGCGTCTGCCTGGACACTGCCTCCTGTTGTATAGTGGATAGAGCGTCTGCCTGGACACTGCCTCTGTTGTATATAGTGGATAGTGGAGAGCGTCTGCCTGGACACTGCTTCCGTTGTATAGTGGATAGAGCGTCTGCCTGGACACTGCCTCCTGTTGTATAGTGGATAGAGCGTCTGCCTGGACACTGCCTCTGTTGTATAGTGGATAGAGCGTCTGCCTGGACACTGCCTCTGTTGTATAGTGGATAGAGCGTCTGCCTGGACACTGCCTCTGTTGTATAGTGGATAGAGCGTCTGCCTGGACACTGCCTCTGTTGTATAGTGGATAGAGCGTCTGCCTGGACACTGCCTCTGTTGTATAGTGGATAGAGCGTCTGCCTGGACACTGCCTCCGTTGTATAGTGGATAGAGCGTCTGCCTGACACTGCCTCTGTTGTATAGTGGATAGAGCGTCTGCCTGGACACTGCCTCCGTTGTATAGTGGATAGAGCGTCTGCCTGGACACTGCCTCTGTTGTATAGTGGATAGAGCGTCTGCCTGGACACTGCCTCCGTTGTATAGTGGATAGTGGTCTGCCTGGACACTGCCTCCTAGTGGATAGACGTCTGCCTGGACTGGACACTGCCTCCGTTGTATAGTGGATAGAGCGTCTGCCTGGACACTGCCTCCGTTGTATAGTGGATAGAGCGTCTGCCTGGACACTGCTTCCGTTGTATAGTGGATAGAGCGTCTGCCTGGACACTGCCTCTGTTGTATAGTGGATAGAGCGTCTGCCTGGACACTGCCTCTGTTGTATAGTGGATAGAGCGTCTGCCTGGACACTGCCTCCGTTGTATAGTGGATAGAGCGTCTGCCTGGACACTGCCTCCGTTGTATAGTGGATAGAGCGTCTGCCTGGACACTGCCTCCGTGGATAGAGCGTCTGCCTGGACACTGCCTCCGTTGTATAGTGGATAGAGCGTCTGCCTGGACACTGCCTCTGTTGTATAGTGGATAGAGCGTCTGCCTGGACACTGCCTCTGTTGTATAGTGGATAGAGCGTCTGCCTGGACACTGCCTCTGTTGTATAGTGGATAGAGCGTCTGCCTGGACACTGCCTCCGTTGTATAGTGGATAGAGCGTCTGCCTGGACACTGCCTCTGTTGTATAGTGGATAGAGCGTCTGCCTGGACACTGCCTCTGTTGTATAGTGGATAGAGCGTCTGCCTGGACACTGCCTCTGTTGTATAGTGGATAGAGCGTCTGCCTGGACACTGC